TTATCAGCTGTTTGGCCTCTCATTCTGACGGCACCCATTCACTGCAGAGCATCCGTTGCTGAGACACTGATGCAGTGCTACATTTCTCCAAATCTGATGAAGAAACAAACTCATCCTAATCTGGGATGGCCTGCAGGTGAGCACATTTACAGAAAAACATCATTCCTGGGTGAGCTATTCATTTGAATCGAGTGTGGTTTAGGTACCTGTATGGGTTGGGGTATCTCTGCCAGAAGGCCGTCAATACCTGATCCCACGCGCTCTTGATGTCCGTCTCGCTGAAGAAATACTTCCCCATCATCACGAGCCCAGCAGAGCCCCACTGACACAGTCCTGAACAGAAAAACCATCACACCTGTATTATCAGCTTCCTATTTTGAGGTTTCAAACAGCTCAGCTGCATTTACCTGTATGGGTTGGGGTATCTCTGCCAGAAGGCCGTCAATACCTGATCCCACGCGCTCTTGATGTCCGTCTCGCTGAAGAAATACTTCCCCATCATCACGAGCCCAGCAGAGCCCCACTGACACAGTCCTGAACAGAAAAACCATCACACCTGTATTATCAACTTCCTATTTTGAGGTTTCAAACAGCTCAGCTGCATTTACTCAGGCTGATATGATACAATACATGACTGTATCCATAGACCATGGTTAAAAAAAATACACTTTTTGTGAGTGGCAGAAGCTATGGAATTTTGGCGGAAAATATAGTTACCATGGTGATATTCTGAAACGTCTGTCAAGCGGAAGTTGTATTAGCTAATAAAAACAAAGCGTATCCACCGGGCCACACAGAACCAAACACAAACACACGGACACTGCAGATGTTCAGACTCTTTTTAGAGTTTATAAGATGATAAAATAATGCTTAATGGCATTAGAGTTTATCCTCCGTAATCCGCTTTATTGAACAAACCCTCGAATGTCGAATAGCGAAACTCCCTCTCTTGTAATAAACGCTTATTAGTCTGATTTAACACGAATTACAGCTCTTAAATCCATCCAGTTGTATATACGTTTACTGGAGTTTATAAGATGATAAAATAATGCTTAATGGCATTAGAGTTTATCCTCCGTAATCCGCTTTATTGAACAAACCCTCGAATGTCGAATAGCGAAACTCCCTCTCTTGTAATAAGCGCTTATTAGTCTGATTTAACACGAATTACAGCTCTTAAATCCATCCAGTTGTATATATGTTTATTTTTCAACACTGTTACTATCCGTTTATAGAGCAAATAAAGCGGCAGATCGCGAACATCAGCACCGCGCGCAGACACAAGCGAGACAAAAACAAACAAACGAACACGAGTAATCCCGAACATAAGCCGAATAAACACGAACACAGCCGCTCAATGTCGGTAAAGCAAAAACATATTTACTGTATAAACTGACTCACTGTAATAATCCTGCAGCTCCGCGCGAACATCACCGACGTCCGCCGCATTTCCGTCTTCTGTGCGTGCGCGTGCGCGTGAGTATGCGTGCGCGTCAAGAGCGTTAAAGAGTAACATAGACTATTATTGTTATTACTCTACATTATCACGCTTAGTAATGCTCTAAAATATTGGTAGCACTTCAGTTTAGAGACCAATTCTCAATATTAACTTAGATGCTTATTAGCGTGCATATTACTAGCATAACAGCATGGCTGCTGTTCATATTCTGCATGACCATATTTGTGACCCTGGAGCACAAACCCAGTCATATGCATCATCTGAAAGCTGAATAAATAAGCTTTCCATTGATGTATGGTTTGTTAGGATAGGACAATATTTGACTGAGATGCAACTATTTGAAAATCTGGAATCTGAGGGTGCAAAAAAATCTAAATATTGAGAAAATCATCTTTAAAGTTGTTCAAATGAAGTTCTTAGCAATGCATATTACTAATCAAACATTAAGTTTTGATATATTTACGGTAGGAAATTTACTAAATATCTTCATGGAACATGATCTTTACTTAATATCCTAATGATTTCTGGCATAAAAGAGAAATGTATAATTTTGACCCATACAATGTATTGTTGGCTATTGCTACAAATATACCCCAGCGACTTAACACTGCTTTTGTGCTGCAGGGTCACAAGTATGGGTTTTCAAGCATCAAAACAATAAGTGTAATACAGCTTTGAATTGTTGTTGTTGTTGTTTTTCATTAGAAAGTGTCCTGTTTAATTAAATAGTTTTTTTCTGCCCAAAAAATAAATATCATACATTTTTACCTTGATTTACAGAAAGCGGTTACTATAACAAACATGCAGGAGGATCAATTAAGTTATATATGTATGTATATATATATATATATATATATATATATTAGCCTATATATTATAGAAATATATTACATTAATATGCACATAGGGCATATACAATTGCACATTCATAAACTCAAAATAATATGTTTTAAATAATACCTAAATTAAATCCTATTAAACATAATAATTAATTATAATGTATCATTTTGTGAACATTTTGTTGCTGATGAGACCGTAGGATGTTATTCTTCATGTACAAGTATAAACTTTCTGTTTCTGTTTTTTGTTATTTTGTATGCAAATACATGCAAACCACAATTCAAAGTCTAGTCAAACCACTAAATGTTTAATGAAAATAAACCGAATTCGGAGTCAGAGCAACTGATTTGCTCCGATTATGTAAACATCTATGAATGCAGGGAATCATTTAGATGTTCAGGTGTTCATTTATAAACTTGTATAAAAATGAAATATTCAAGCTGCTGCAGATTTTAATTTCTACCACTAGATGGAGACGCGTTTCCACTTTGAAAACTACTATTAATATATATTCACACCTGAACACTACATACTGTATAAACAGTACACAACCAACACACTTTCATTAGAAGCAGTAACTATCTGTAACTACACTCTTAACAATAAAGGTGCTTAAAAGCTTCTTCACAGCGATGCCACAGAAGAACCATTCAGTCAAAGAACCCTTCTTTCTTACCGTTTTATAATCTGAAGAACCTTCTTTCGCCACAAAGAAGCTTTTGTGAAACAGAAAGGTTCTTCAGATGTTAAAGGTTCTTTATGGAACCATTTAGACAAAAAAGGTTCTTCTATGGCATCGTGAAGCAGCTTTATTTTTAAGAGTAATATATCACAACATATCATTAATTATAAATTAAAGAAGTTCAGTCAGCTCAAATTAATTTGCATGTCCCTTTTAAAAGACTTATCTACAAAATATAGGGAAAAACAACCTTAAAATGTTTAAATGATGATGTTATTGACACCAGTAAAGGTTCAAACAACTATGTGAATAATATATAAGAACTGCGCTGGTGTCCAGGTGAAGGACGCATGTGCAAACCCTTCATCATCTTCATCCTTCAGTCTGAATCTCATTAGAGTCTCACAGCATCCGTCTGCATCCACACGAGCCTGTCGACATGAGAGCCCACTGCATCTGTATGGTAACAGCTCATGAACACAAGCTGCATCAATGTGAAGAAGCAGAGAAGTTGATGACAGATGAGCTGCTGAGTAATCTGTGTGTGTTGCTGTTGTTTCAGGTGTGTTTTGTGGTGTGTGTGTGTGTGTGTGTTTGGAGGGCATGATCTGGACAAACCTGATGAACTCAACATGATCGACTGTGGAGGTGCGTCTCACTCACGCTGAACAAAATCCGATACCCTACACCTAAACCTTACAGGAAACTTTCTGCATTTTTACTTTCTCAAAAAAATTCACTCTGTATGATTTATAAGCGTTTTGAAATATGGGAACATGGGGTAATGTCCTCATAAGTCACCTTCTCCTTGTAATACCTGTCATACCCATGTCATTATACACATTTGTGTCCTCATATGTCACAAAAACACATGCACTCACACACACACACACAGTCACACACACACTCACTCACACAGTCACACACACTCACACATACACAGAGACACACACTCACTCTCTCACTCACTCACACACACACACACACACA